GGGCGTGGCTATTGGAGGCTACGGTGGCGTCATTGGCATCGGCCTCGGCGGAGGTAGATCTGAAGGGATTCGGGGCGTCAGCATCCACCCGGAGCTCCTCAAGCCCCTCTGCGTGGGGGTCGACCCCGAGGAGTGCCAAGTGCGGACCCATGAGAAAGAGCAGATCAAGAACCTCAACAACCAGTTCGCCTGCTTCATCGACAAGGTGAGACCCCGCTTCCCTCCGTGAAGGCTGTTTGTCTCATGTCTATAGGCTCTGATGGATGGATTGTCTCTAGAGAGACATCGGTAGCTATTTCTCCTGGCACCCTGATATTGTAAACCCTTCTGATAGACCATGGTGGTCCTGACCTGGAGACTGTTTGGATTTAAGCCTTGCACCAAGGCAACTGCACCAGTATTTTACCTTTCGATGATCACCAATCTGCTAAATAGCTAAATCACGAGCGGCTCCAGGGATACAGTAAATCAAAAACTGTGAGAGAAGGGATGGAGACACAGAAATGTAAAAAGGCAAAATAGGAAGTTTTGCTTTATTTGTTTATACAAATGTATAAACTGACATTGCTATCACACCTCTATAAACTCCAAAGGACTTTTGCATTTTTAAAATAGTTTGTGCGCTTCATCAAGGAGATGTAGAAAGACCTAGCTAGAAAGTCTAGCTAAAATGAGATGAACGATTTTAACTTCTCTGCCCCTCTACTCTGTGAATGAAATGATTTGGTGATTTCCTAAACAGATGTAATTTATCGTTGTTTTCTTAGCTAAGCCTAAGGGTTTTCATTACTATTTAGAGATGAGTTATAGGAAATGTTTTTTCAAATGGCAGAGACACCTTCGCTCTGTCTGATCTTGATTTTCCTTGTGAGCTGTTCTGCAGCTGGAAAAACCAAACCCACGTAAGAGGAGCAACTCTGCTTCCTCCCATTTGAAAAATGACTTATTCATGATCCATAAAGGTTTTCAAATACTAGAGAGCTCTTTAATCTAGAAGTGAAAGGCATGATAAATATCCATGGTTAGAGTTTAAATCAGATACAATCAAATGAGATCCTGGATGGAGCTTTTAGTGCTGCGAAAGACTGATTACTGTACTCAGCCCGTCAGGGGAGGCAGTGGATCCTCCATCAGCCAGTTGTCACAGGGGCAAAAGTTTGGTTGAACTGAGCTTTGGTCAAACAGATGATTGGCCTCAACACAGAGCAAACGCACCAATGTTGTTCAGCCTGTGATACAAGTCCTGGGTGGGACCAGGTTTAGCTTTGAGAAGATGCCGGTCTCACTCAGGCTGCTGAGAAATCAGCACTTAACCATGTGCATTTCTGATTTTATTTTTACTTTTTCCTTTTGGAAGTGGAGAAACCTTTGCCTGGGACAAGAGGGGATTGCATGACTCTCGCATCTCTTGCTTCCCCAGGTCCGGCTGCTGGAACAGCAGAACAAAGTGCTGACCACCAAGTGGGAGCTGCTGCAGCAGTATGTCCTCCCAGCTTCCAGGAGAAACCTGGAGCCTGTTTTCGAGAACTTCATCTGCAACCTGAGGAAGCAGCTGGAGTGTGTGCTGGGGGAGCGAGAGAGGCTGGAAAATGAGGAGCGGTGCCTCAGGGACCTGGTTCAAGAGTACAAGTGCAAGTAAGTTGTACGCAGAGAGAAGCCGTAGACTGGGGTGTTTGCTGGCCTGAGTGGTGTTTCTGAGCGTGAAGCCAATGCAATTGCACTGGATGGGTCCAAAAACTGGGGCACAGGGAGGGGAGCAGGGCAGGGCACACCAGTACTGGGCTGGTTTCCTGTACTGGGGTCCCACTGTTGCACCTCAGATGCTGGTGATGGACTGGGAGAGCTCTTCAACCACAGTGTTTCCTTAGGGAGAGAGACAGGGAACCACTTTTCCTCTCCCTAATGCTCCTGCACACCACTGTGGTTTGCCGTATCAAATCTCCCACACTATCTATGCCTGTGGCTCCCCCAAATCTCGTGTCCCTGGTGCCATCCGTTCCCACAAAACCCTCGACCTGTTTGTCTCCACCCCACGCTTTATCCACATCGTCTCCACTGGGGTTCATTCTCTCTTCTCAGAGGGAACGTGGGAATTGTTTCTTTAATCTAAGCTGCAGATATTCCTTAATAGCTCCGTTGCTCTGCTAAGCCACAAACCAGGACACTTGGCGGTTGGTGGTATACAGCACAGGATAAAAGAGTAATCCTTTCTCCAGAGATCTTACTGTCAAGCATCTCAGATGTTTTTTCTCCCTGAGCCACCGCCAAGGAGGTCAGACTCATAGAATCATCTTGTGAACGTTCTTCTAGGTCCCAATTACTTGGTCATTATGCACTGGCTTTCCTTCCCATTGCACCTGGGAGTTTCAAACGTTGCTCAAGCTCCTGACCTCCCTTGGGGCATTCTGGCCACAGTCTCCCCGTAAACACTCAGAGCAGAGTCCTGGATGCTTCAAAAAAACATCACATAAAGCAGCAGGGCTAGAAGAACCAATCCAAGCCTTCAGCTGAGGTACAGGGTTTTGCATTTCTAGTGGTTTGGCTTGATTTACTGCCATCTCACTCCAGCCACTGATGCTGCTGGCATGGACTATTTAAAACTGCTGAACAAAGCCCGGTGGGGAGGAAAGAAATAGCAACAAAGCAAAAATCAAAAAGGAGGTACAAAGGGAATAGGGAGAGGCTCTGGTTTTAATCACGCTTCCCGTGTTCTGCATTGGCCGCTTTGGGTGGTGGGGACGGGACCCCCAGGGCTCAGCAGCCCACCCCTCTCCTTTCCTCCTGCAGGTATGAAGATGAGATCAACAAGCGCACGGCTGCGGAGAACGAGTTTGTGGTCCTCAAGAAGGTGAGTCACGCTAGGGACAACGCTGGCGAGACCAGCTGAGAGTGGCAGGCGCGTGGGCAAAACCTGGGCGTGAGGCCAGGGAGAGAACTGGGGAGTCCTGGCACCATGACATTGCCTGAGTCCTCATCAGGTAGCCCCAAAATAGAGGCAACCCAATGACTTTGGAGAACCTCTATCAGGTTGTAAGCACATACAACGCAAACCCAGATAGTCTTAAGGGCTGGAAATAGTGAGGTTTCCTCCAAATCTAACAGAAAACACGGGCTTTGCCACAGTCCTTGTTTCTTCACCTCTTTTCACCGAATACGTGGTGTCTCTCCAGGATGTGGACTGTCTCTACCTGACCAAGGAGGAGCTGGAGGTGAGAGTGGGCCTCCTGCGGCAGCAGCTGGAGTTCCTGAAGTGCATCTACGCCGAGGTAAGAGCTCCCGGCTCCCTCTTTGCTGCCCCAGGGATGATGCATCATCTGCTGCTCCCCTGAGCTCTTACAACAAAACTAAATGCAGGGAAAGGTGTCTTTTCTGAAAATCCTGAAATTGCATCCCAGAAATCTACATCTCTTTTATAGGTATTTGATAAGAACACTATTGCACACACTCTGGGAAGGCAAAGGGCATTCTCGGTTGTCTCCTATATTGCTGGCTGCAGAGGGAGGGCTCTTTTGCACGAAAATAGCCTCTCAAATTCTAATCCAAACCATCCCTGGGAACCACTGAAACATCTCACTCTTCAAAACCCAAGTATTCTTAGCACTTCATGTTTTAAGCTACATTAGTAAAAATATTTTGATGAAAGTAATACCTTTGTCTAAAATGTAGCAAGTTTTTAACAAAACGCACAGGGGACACTTCGTATTTGCACCTTTTCTAGCCAAACACCTCCGAGCAGTCTGTAGGCAACGGGGCCCAAAGCACTCACCCCTGAGGGATTCACAGCCCAGAAAACTGCTGACGCAGCCAGAAATGCCGAGTTTCAATGAAGCGAGTTTCTCCACCCTTCCTTAGGGAATTGCATGCAGCAATCCCATGTTGTGCCACCAAAACAGGTCCCAGCTGTCAGCTCTTGCTGGAAACCAGTCACCCACCTGGAGAACCCCATGCTCTAGTTGGGCGTTAATGGGAGAATCTCCCCCAACCCTCCACCTTCTCACCAGACCCCCCCTTTGCCAGGGGTACCCGCATGCCTGGCTTGGGCTGGTTGAGGGAAGGGGGCTGACATGCGATGGATCTTGCAGGAGAGAGCTCAGCTGGATTGCCAGCTGTGTGACACCTCTGTCATCGTGCAAATGGACAACAGCCGGGACCTGGACATGGAGGGCATCATCAAAAGTGTTGAGTGCTGCTACGAGGAGATTGCCCAGAAGAGCAAGGCTGAAGTGGAGGCTTTCTACCAAACCAGAGTGAGTATTCACACCACCAGCACAGATGGCAATGAAATCCCTTGGCCAACAAAACTCTGAGGACCATTGCCGTCCTCTATGACACAACTTAAACCCACCCCACAGCGTGGCATGCACTGTGGTATTCTAAAAAAAGTAATGCCACCACCCCCTCCCCCAACCTTAAAACTGTGGTTTAAGGGTTTTCTGTAAAAACAGAGCACAGCAGATCACAGTGTTGCTTCAGAGAGGTCTCCTCTGTGCACACCCATCAGGAACACCATCGCCTTCCCAAATGCTTAGGACCTACCCGGGACTGTCGCCTTGTCTGGGCTGAGGTCATGTCTGGGTGCTTCCCTGGGAGCACCGACGTCAGTGTGGCTCCAGAGAGTCACCACCTTCCCTGGAAGGGGCGATTCGGGCGCATTAACATCATCCTCTTCCCGTGCAATAGCTGGAGGAGCTCCACAGCAGCAGGGGCAAGTTCTGCGATGACCTGAGAAACAACCAGAGCGAGATAGCCGAGCTGAACCGGATGATCCAGAAGCTGCAGTGCGAGTCGGATAATGTGAAGAAACAGGTAGGACAAAGGGTTGAATGCTGCATGGGCAGCGGGGTGTGCAACTTCTCCAGCAAAGGGCTTCGTCCTCACCAGCTCCCACCATGCTGAGCTGCAAAGAACCCCCCCCCGTCCCAGCTGAAGCCTATATTTGTAGCTTCTCATCTGCTGTTGATACATAAAGAAGTAGATTGATTTCTCACTTAGCAAATAAGCAGAAGCCAGTTGGTTTGGCTATAACAGAAACAGTGTTTGCTGTATGCTTCCTACTGGGGTGCAGCCAACGGGTCCCATCCCCTTCATCCCAAATAGGCTGGCCATCACATGTGTCCAGCTTAAATCCATGCTCTCTGGCAGTTCCTAGCTGAGAAACAAGGGGGTACATGAGCAACCCTGTGGAGATGCAGCTTAATATCACCACTGGCCACCCTGTTGCCCATTACTGTCCGCAGATCGCAGCTCTACAGACGGCCATCTGCGACGCTGAGCAGCGGGGCGACTGCGCCCTCAAAGATGCCCGGCAGAAGCTGATTGACCTGCAGACTGCACTGCAGCAAGCCAAGGACAAGATGGCATGCTTGCTGAGAGACTACCAGGTACTGCTGAACGTCAAGCTGGCCCTGGACATTGAGATTGCCACTTACAGGACGCTGCTGGAAGGAGAAGAGAGCAGGTAGGAGCATCCCTGGCTGCACGTTCTAACGATAGCTGGCAAAACCCAACAGGAGGAGAGAGAGGCAGTGAGAAATGCTGGGTGGAGGCAGCTCCCCATGGGTGCAGAGGGGTGCATCGTCCCTTTTCTCTCCCCATGGGTGCAGAGGGGAGCATTGCCCCTGTTTCCTCCTCATCCTCCCAGGGCAGCTGGGTCGCAGTGCACCAAGCATGCTGCAGTCAGATCCCTTGCTCGTGGTACAAAAAGAGGATGGGATATTAAGATGTCTGTGGGATTTGGGGATCCAACCCCACAGTGCTTCGGTGGGCAATTTGGACCAGCACCTCACACCTGGGTGAACAGAAAACCTGAAGTACTTGCAGGGTTTCTAAGCGGGCAATGGCTGGGCAGCACCTCTACCTGCTTGTGTATTTGAGGAATATTCTCCTAAATACATCCTTGAGACATTTCTTTTCTTAACAGGATATGTACTGGCAACCCTGTGAGCGTAGGTAAGCTAATGAAGCCTTCCCTTAATTTCCTTACAAGTCTTTTAAGCTTCTAAGTTTCCTTATAAGCTGTGTTTTAGCTGCTCTGGGAGTGACTGAGCCTGTTTTTCTCCCACAGCTGTGGTCAGCGGCGGTGGCACCATCGGGGAGTGCCGATCCCTATCTGGAATCGGAGGCAAATGCGCTGTCAAGACAGGAGGGGCTGGCGCAGGGTTAGGGGTGGTCTCCTCCTTCGGCGTCAGCAGCACCGGCTTTAGCACCCGGAGCGTAGATTGCGTCCCCAGGGTGGGGGGCGGATTTGGGGCGAGGAGCGCGGTCAGCTGCGTGGGGCGAGAAGTCATCCCCAATGTGGAGGGGGTGCAGTGCACCACTGGCGTGGGCAACCTGGGGAACGTCATGTGCACTGGCGTGGAGCAGTGCAGCCCGGGAGCCATCATCATTCCCGGGGCAGGGGTCTGCAGCACCGGGAGCAGGTACAGCACAGCTGTGCGTGTGGTCAGAACAACCCGGTAGAGACGGGAGGGCAACAACACATCATATTTTAAAATAATCAGCATTTCTGCAATAAAACAGTATTCCCCTTCCTTCTGACAGCTATAGGGATCACACAACCATGCGCTGCCCATGCCCACACAACCAGGCTAGTCGCTCTGCTGAAAACTCTTTGCATGATCAAAACCCACCTTCTCTTGCATGTCCTTCTTGGGGGAAACTTACTCCCACGGTCTCAGCCAGGTGAGATTTTCATTTCAGAGAGTCCCTACCTGTCTTCACGCATCATCTTGCCTCTTAAATCAGTCTTCT